TTTTTTTCTTCTTGTTCTATTTCTTCTTTCACAACATGACTAATGTGGAAATATGTTTTACGTGATTGCACATATATAACCTATATCAGATTGCTTGCTGTCTTGGGGAGGGGGAAGGGAAGGAAGGGAGGGAGGGAGGGAGGGAGGGAGAAAAATTTGGAACTCAAAATCTTTCAAAAAATGAGTGGTGAAAATTGTATTTACATGTAATTGGAAAAATAGAATACTATTAAATTTTAAAAAAAGAAGACAAAGCAGAACATATGAAGACATAATAAGATAGAATAGAACCACTCCCAGGTCTCTATGACCCCTGCTGATGACAGGGATCAGAAAGAACACAAGTATCACCTACCTATATTTTAGCGTCAGCAATTTATACTGTCTAGTCCTTGGTCATTGTTCATTCATGTTTACCATTTTACGTTTCTGTTTATTCCTGTGTTTGAACTTCAAAGTTTCTCTTCAGGTCTGGTCTTTTCATTGGGAATGCTTGGAAGTCCCTGATTTCATTGAAGATCCACTTTTCACCTGTACCATTATACTCAGTCTTGCTGGGTAAGTGATTCTGTAAGCCCACATCCTTTGCCTTCTGGGATATCTTATTCCAAGTTCTCGTATCTTTCAGGGTGTTGGTTGGTAATTGAGTGTGATCCTAACTGTGGCTCCTCAGTACTTGGGTTCTTTCTTTCTACCTGCTTGCAGGATTTTTCTTTGACCTGGAAGCTCTGAAGTTCCTAGGAGTTTTCATTTTGGGGTTTCTTTCCAGAGGTGGCTGGCAAATGCTTTCTATTTCTAGTTTGCCCTTTGGTTCTAAGAGATCTAAGCTGTTTTCTTTTAAGATTTTTTGAAATAGGATGTCTAGATTTTGAGGTATTTTTGTCCTAGCATTCAGATAGTCCAGTGATGATTAGCTTTTTTTTCCTTGATCTGTTTTCCAGGTCAGTTGCTTTTGCTATGAGATACCTTACTTCTTATATTTTTTCAGCTTTTTGACTTTGTTTCAATTTTCTTGTTATCTCATTGGGTCATTGGCTTCTATTTGGTTCCTTCTAATGTTTAGGCAAGCTTGGACAGATTTTATACCTTTTGTGCCAAGCTGTTAATTCACTTTCTAATTCTTTCTTCCATGTTCATCTTTGTTTTTCATTTTTTCCCCTCACGTGTTCTCATTTCTTCTCTTCGTGAGTTGGCAAGGAATGAGAATCTGAGTGGATATCTATAGAAAACCATTTTTACCTCTTTAAAACAAGTTCTTGCTTCTTTTCTTCCAGGAATTCTAGTTGGGTTTGTGGCAAACTGTGATTTTCAATTACGTATTCCTTGTCATTCTCTCCTTCTTCTTCTTCTTCTTCTTCTTTTTTTTGAGGCAATGGGGTGAAGTGACTTGGCCAGGGTCACACAGCTAGTGTCAAGTGTCTGAGGCCAGATTTGAACTCAGGTCTTCTTGAATCCAGCGCCAGTGCTCTCTCCACTGCACCATCTAGCTGCCCCATCATTCTCTTCTGCATTTGTGACTTGACCATTCCCTGCTGCCATGATAGTGAATTATGGTGAGATTCTTGTTTATTTGATTGTTTGCCCATTCCTCCAGCCTATTTCCTGACTTTGGACCTGATGTTAGGGCTGGGCTTTGGGCCCTTTTAGAAGGAGGGTCTGGGCTGGTTCTATCACTGCTTTCTTAGGGAATTGAGTTTTATGTTATTCTGGGGTCTTATAGACAGGCTGGGAACCTCTAGGCTTTTAGTGCTCCCAAACGGTCTGATCCAGGGCAAAGTCTGACTACCAAGTCTGAGCTCTACAAGTGGGTTTGGGTCTGCACAGCAGGAGATGCTGTTGGACTCTGCTCCTATTGGCCAGCTGGAAAACTCTTGGTTTAGAGTGACAGATTTGTAGGTCCTACTGTGGTCTGGGATTCTTGCCCTGGCTACTTCTCTGAAGGCTGGGGTAGGTGCTGGAGCTGAGGCCCTCCTCAGCTCCTGATGTGTAAGCCATTTCATTGCTGCTAGTGGTTGCCTCTGAACGTCCTCCCTCTCTCAGAACATAGCCCAGGGCCTCCCTACCCAGGAATGTGATGCCCTCTCTTCTCCACTTTGCCCCTCCAGTCCCCTTCTCACTCAGCCTGGATCTAGGACCTGGAACTGGGTAGTGAATGATAAAGCTCCCAGTTGGTACCTATCCCCACTGAGGTCCCTGGTATGTGTCTGGAGGTGCCCCAGTGTAAGTCTGGGACCTCCTCTTGCCTTGGTGCAATTTTCTCCCAGGGAAATAGTGCTCCACAAAGGACATGCTCCTAACTGCTTCTCCCTCCCTCCTTATCCATAGTCCTCCTTGTCTGTCTTCCAAAGCTGACCTGGGCTGGACAAATGATTCATTATGACTTTCTAAAAAAAATTTCAGGACAGCTAGGTGGCACAGTGGATAGAGCACCGGCCCTGAAATCAGGAGGACCTGAGTTCAAGTCCAGCCTCAGACCAAACACTCGACACTTACTAGCTGTGTGACCCTGGACAAGTCACTTAACCCCCATTGCCCAACCAAAAACCAAAAACAAGCCAAAAACAGATATGGAAACTGAGGTTCAAGAACCTATAGAAAGTTCACCCAGGAAATAAGCAGAGGAGTGGGGATTCACACCTAGGTCTTCTGCTCACTGGGAGCATTAATTCTCCATCCTCATATTTCCTCAGGCTCTTTGCCTGGGTCCCTCATTTACTTCATCTCATCCGTTCTTGAGTCCTTGAGTTAGACTTGTTTGGGGACGTATCTTCCTTCCTCCCGGTAGAAATCTAAGCTTCTTGAGGGCAGAAGCTGTTGTTTCTCTTTCTTGAATTGCCCCATCTCCCCAGCCCACTCTTTCAAACACATGATAAATATGTGTTTAGTTGAATGGAAGAACAGAGATACATAGAGGCAGGAGAGAGAGAGAGAAAGAACAAGAAGAGAGACGGAGACAGAGAGACAGGGACAAAGGGAATGGTGATAGAGTCAGAGGGATAGGAAGATAGGGAGAGGTTGTGGAAAGGTGAGGGGAAATGGGAGGGGTCAGTGAGAGACAGATGGGGTGCTGGAGGGCCAAGGGAACACCTCTGTCTCTATTTCTAAGAAGTCCCTGAGAAATTGATTTCCCCTCTCCCCTCTTCCCCATATCCTTCTTAGTCTTGGTGGTCTCTTTAGCTAGAGGCCACGACAGGCAGCATAGGCAGCCCCCACCCGCTTTCAGCCGTCACCGAGGAACAGAAAAGCCACACTTGGAGCTCCCTCTTCCCATGAGATTGTCTCTAGGTCCCGCAGTGATGAAATTAGGAAAGTATCTCCTTGGGAAAACTGACATAAGTGAAAAGAATGCATCACCAAATGCAGAAAGTGGGAGTGACAGACTGCTTAGGTTGTAGGAGGAGAGTGGGGGTCCCTTGGGAAGGACTGGGGTGCAGGCTGCTTGAGCACTGGGAGGGGAGAGGACTGTGCTGCTCTTGTTTGGATATAACATACAAACACGTGAACAGTAAACACACCTGCCCACCCCCACACACATAGCTGCCCCACCTCCACTCGCTCACACCCTGTACCTCCCTCACCCCCTGACTCACACCCCTGGCCTCCCTACCAAACATGAAATCCCCCCTTCTTTGTCTCCAGTTCTGAGTCTTACCCTTCATTCCTGAAACGCAATAGTCTTGCTTTTAATATCTGCCACTCAGTCTTCAGCTGAGATGCCTGGTTGGGGCAGAAAACCAAGACTAATGAATCTCTGTGCTCATGCACAAAGCTTGCTGTCTTAGCCTCTTCCACCTGCCTGAACTCACCCTAACCACCCCCTCACTCCCTGTCTCACTCAGTGTCCCCAGTTCGTGTTGTGTTCTAGGACCTCAGCATCCTCTCGTTTCCCAGATTTCTTACCTACCTCTCCAGTTAATCTAATTCCTTCTTGAGATGACAACACCTGAATTTTTGGGAAGGATCTAGGGAAGGCCCTGAGGTGAGGAGAGCAGGAAGTTTGGGCTCACTGGCCCCCAGCCCAGCTCTGCCTCTGCCATCTTCCTTCTATCCCAGGTTTCTAGCCCCTCCCCACGGGCACCCCAACCGGATTTTCAGGAGACACTGCGTCTGCTCTCAGGTTGATCAAAATCAGCTCTCCTGCCCTTGCCCTAGGGTTGGGAGGCAGGATGCCTGGGTTCTGGCCAGGGAATGGTGAACCCCCTCTCTCAAGCCTCCCCAGTAGACCCTGCATTAGACCCTGCATCTGGGAACCTAGATGCTCTACCCTCCATCTCACTTTCCACTGCTTTGGGAAGACTGAGGCTGGCATTGATCTCAGCTTTCTCCTGAATGTTCCCCTGTATCACTTAAGGCTCCTCCCAGTCTCTGAAGACCCCACTGCTTCTCCACTAATGGTTGCATCTCTTCAGATGCACTTGGGAATTGACTAGTTTGGTTCTGATAGGGAAGTAGGGGCTGGGGGTTGGGGGTGTCTGGAATATCTAGGATCTGGTGGGTCAGAATACTGGGAGGAGAACAAGATGCCTAGGTCCTGGGAGGAGAACAGGATGGCTTTGTCATGGGCAGGTAATGGGAAGGGTGGGGGTTAACAGGCCAAGAATTTGGGTCCTAGGGAGGAGACCTAAGGGACTCCTAGAGGGAGTGAGGTGCCTGAATTCTAGGAGGGGAGGGGGACTGAAAGTGGGCAGAAGAATCAGGAACCGACAGGAGTGACAGGATGCCTGGGTTGTGGGAGGGAATGAGAAGAGGTGGAGGTTGGAAGGTCAGACATTTGGGTCCGGGGGTGGAGGGACCCTTGCTGGGTCAGAATCTTGGATGCCTGGGACCTCTTGCATTGTGACTCACCCCTCCCCCTCCTCCTTCCCATTGCTCAACCCGAAATCTCCCTGGGAAACACCACCCTTCAATGGAGACCAGCAACTGTCTCATGGGGGAGCTGAGTCATGGGGGAGTGGAGTAGGGAGGGGAGGCGGGAGGATAAATAGCAGCCTAGCCTCATTAGCTCCTCTCTACAATCCCCAGCACCCTACCAACATGCATCCTGCCACCTTAGTCTACACTTGCTCCTTCTTGCTGCTGGTAGGGGCTTTGCCTGGCTGGACAGCTGAAATTGACCCCTTTGGGAAGGTCATTGAGGGCATCAACCATGGGCTAAGCAATGCTGAAAGGGAGGTGGGCAAGGCCCTGGATGGCATCAATCATGGGATCACTCAAGCTGGCAGAGAAGTAGAGAAAGTTTTCAACGGCCTTAGCAGCATTGGAAAAGAGGCTAGCAGGGAGGTAGACAAAGGCGTTCAAGGGATCAACCACAGTCTGGACCAACTGGCCCATGGAGCTGGCCATGCTGCTGGGCAGGCAGGGAAGGAAACAGAGAAAGTGATCCAAGGCGCCAACCATGGGCTCACCAACACCGGGAAGGAAGTGGACAAGGGCATCCACGATGTGAATCATGCTGTCGGGCAGGCCGGGAAGGAGGTAGAGAAGTTTGGCCAAGGGGTCAACCA